GCAGGGGCCACACAGGGGCCAACACCAGTGACTGCTCACCACCGACACGCCGACCCCACCCCGGTCCCTCCCCGGTCCCCACGCCTGCGTCACACTGCACACCCCCGGGAGCACGGGGCTTGGGGAGGCTCCTCAGATCTGCAGGCTCGACACTAGTAAAGTGCTCAAATTCATTATTATAAAATGCTAGCTAATATTGCTTTAGATTTTTTTTGAATTTGGGTTAAAGGAACAAATTTTCTGATAAAAATAACTTAGGGATTCTGGGTTTTTGAGTGTTGTTTAGAGAATCTGCTTTCTGGTCTAAAGGTTGAGTATCAATGAGAAATCAAAACTAGAGAAAAAAGAGTATTGAATGATAAGCTCTCTTTCTAGAGATATTTACTCTACGTCTGGTCATGTGCCAAGTTTAGTTATTCCTATGGTTTTTATTTTCCATTTATTAGGGCAGTGATACTTGTTTAGTCACCATATGCTGTGATAATCTGTTGGTCTCATCAGAGACCTAGAGAGACCTACTTATTACCCAGATGCAAAGCTTGTTTCAAAATCTATTTGTTGGCTCTACCTAAGTTGTGGCCCCGGGCAGCCATTTCCTCCCAGGGACCCCCTCGGAGGGAAGAAGCCGGGCGCTCACCTGCACGCCTGGCTGTCCGCGACCCACCTGCCAGGTTAGAGAGAACAGTTAGATCAGCGTTTGTGCGGGCTGGGGCGCGGGCGCACGCACGCAGGGCACCCCCGCTCTTACTTCCTGTCCTGCGGGTCCAGCGCGCAGAAGATGACGCTGCTCACGGGGTAGTGCCTTCGGAAGAAGAGCCTGCAGGGGAGGGGGGGGTGGAGGGGGGAGGGTGCCACTGGACTGTGATGTGAGTAAGAAATAACTTTTTATAATACTAAGCCCACTGAACCCAGCGCGGCCAGGGGAGGCCTGAGGGGCGCGCCCGGGTGTGAGCAGAGCCCGCCCGCCCTGCCCGCCACTCACTTCCTCTGGTTGTCCGTCAGGGTGATGCCCTGGGCCGACACCTTGAAGTGCACGACTGTCGACAGGGGTGGCGGCTGCTGGGCCAGGGTGGCGCTCAGGGCCTTCTGCACGGCCTGGTGGCCCGTGAGCGACTCCATCTCCAGGGAGCCCAGGTACCACACGTTGCAGGCTGCGGACGGGGACACGGGTCAGCATGTCGGACACGGGCCGGCGCTGGGTGCCTGGGGCTCAGGACGACTCAACCTGTGGCCGTGCCAGGAGCCCCGAAGGCTGCCCTTGCCTGATTCTGAGGCGCGGAGAGCGAGTGACCCGGACACACATGGTGCCCAGGCTGACGGGGAATGAACACTGCACTGTATGCCTGGCATCCCCGGGGCTGGGGCACCTCCTTGGCTTCACGGTGGCCTGGGCGGGCCGGACAGGAGCCCGGCCACATGGAGTGAAGGACACGCCCGAGAGGGGGGCATGCAGCCGGCACCCCCATCACGGCCCTGCTGGAGCCCCATGTT